CCAAAAAAAAAAAAAAAGAGTTATAGTATCCATGTGAGTGAGGCAGCTGCTCATAACAATGAATGCCCTGCTAGATGAACACCAAGCCAACAGCACAGATTTTTATCAAAGAGAGCTCATGGGAACTCATAACAAAATCCAACTTTCTAGAAGTAGACTGGTTTCCAGATGGTAAGAAATAGTACTTGAGAGTTGAGAGTGAAATAAATAAATCCAATATACTAAGACTGAATCATAAGGAAATGAAAAATAAAAACACATCTATAGTAAGAGTTTGAATTAGTAATCAAAAACCACCCCCCAAAAAAAGGACTCAGAAATAGATTGCTTCAATATAGAGTTCTACTATACATATAAAAAAGAATAAACACCAATCCTCTCCAAACTCTGCACACAACTGTAAAGGATATGAAAAACACTCAGCTAACATCATACTGAATGGGCAAAAGCTGAAAGATTTCCACTAAAAACTGGAACAAAACAAGGATGCTCACTTTCTCCACTCTTTTTCAATATAGTACTGGAAGTCCTAGCCAATACAATTAGACAAGAGAATAAAATACAGGCATTCAAATAGGGAAAAAAGTGAAATTATCTCTATTTGCAGGTTACATGATTATATACATAGAAAACCCAAAAGAGGGACCAGCAGTTAGTGTAATGGTTGTGTCTCTGGACTCCCATGTAGTCGACTGCGGTTCAAGTCCCTGACCTGGAGGCTTAAACTCACGCCAGGTGCGTGTGCATGCATGCCCAAGTTCCCGAGAGGAGAATGGAGGAAAAGGGATTGTGGCGTGGTCATACCCTCTTGGGGGTGATTTCTTGCTTTCTGTCTCTCTGTCTTTCTGGTGAGCGCATGTGCCCTACAGCAAAAACCTCTCTGAAAAAAAGAAAAAAGAAAGGAAGAAAATCCAAAAAAAATCTGGAGGGAAAAAAAAATGTCCTGGAAGTGATAAATGATAAATGAATACAGTAAAGTCACAGGATACAAAATCAACATACAAAAATCTATAACATTTCTACACACCAATAGTGAACAGACTG